ACACACACACACACACACACACACACACACACACACACACACACACACACACACACACACACACAGAGTGTGTGTGAGAGAGAGAGAAGATTTTTATCGAAACAAGCAAATATGGTACGCGTTACCATATTTATTACCGCACTTATTAAATATGGTAATAAGTGCGGAATTACGGCTCGATGAGAATGTATTTCTGGAGGCGTGCACAACTAGGCCGTTCATCGGCGTCATGGTGGCAGTCTGCGCTCGTCTGCTACAGTACAACGATGCGCGGGATAAAGTACGCTCTTGTACTAATATATAAACACGTCTTTGTCGTCTTTGTCACAGTCTGTTATGCAATGCATTCAATATCTCATATCTGACAGCAGCACAGAAGACACACGCTATTCTTTATACTATCATAATCCGCGTCACAGCGCTCGTATCGATTCCATATAGCTGCAGTCGTAAGGAGATTTATCAGCGCTCATATATATGTATATATATATATATTATAAGTCCCACAATTAGTGCCGGGGTGGCGCCACTTCTTCTTTTTCTGTTGTTTATCCAATCATGGCATACTTCCCAGTTTTTCACGACTGTTCGCCATCTTCCCACAACACCAGATGTCGAATTTCCAAATCACACACGCGCAAACGACGGGGAGGATGAGAGTGAGGGGAGAGGAACCGAGAGAGAGAGAGGGGAGATGGGGGAGAGGGGGGAGCGATGTATATACCGCCGTTCGTAATCCACGTAATGTTTAGCAACAAACATGTAATCAAGAGCTAATAATTAAATTATTATTATTAAATTAATTAATTAATTAATTAATAACAAACATGTAATCAAGAGCTAATAATTAAATTATTATTATTTAATTAATTAATTAATTAATTAATAACAAACATGTAATCAAGAGCTAATAAATTATTATTATTATTATTATAATTATTATTTATTAGCTCTTGATGTAATGTAAATTGCACGCACGACACACGACAACGAAAGACGGCTACAGCTATAGAGCGGTAGCCCCGCCGCGTGTGACAGCCTGCCGCGCATCACCGTCCGCCTGCCAGTCGCCTTTTAGTCGAGACGGGCTTCGTTGTAGCTTAATTGGATATCGTGTTTGTTGAGGCCGTTTTCAAGCAGTCGCTTGTTCAATGACTGCAGTAATTCCGTACGGCGGCGACGTGGTCGCATGAGTACGCAGCGACTGCACGTAGAAACGCCACTGACCAGTATGTGGCGCCCATCGCGCGCAGTTGCAGTGACCGAAAGATGGTGTTATTGAAGCTTAGTATTAATAAGCTTACTTGCCTGCCGAGGATATTTAATATAATACTAAATCATAAATATTATTTTTGATTAAACAAAAATAAATGAATAAATAAATACATTCGCATAAGAATCGCCTGGTAATGCTGTTTTCATTTCGCTGTTGCAATCTTGCCAGCTTTTCATAATATAATGAGCATTTAATTGATCATACGTGACAGCTTATGGAAGTGAATTTCTCATGCACGCTCTCTCTCAATTTCTCATGTTCTCATTACAACCTAAATCAAGTATCGCTACACGATGACTGAACACGCCAAGTTTACTTATTACGCTTTGTACGTCGTGCCAGGACGGCATCAATTTCAAGTGTACACTTCAGAATGGGTTTGCTATGCAATGCGATAGCTTATTATTTCTACGACAAAATGTACAAAACTGTTATGTCAAGATACATTTATTTCCGCAGGCTTTCGCGCAAGCTTTTTGCGTTGTGTTCTTGATTTACCTGGCTTGCTTTCTGTTCGCTGCAATGGTATGGCTTTGACAGGTTTTGTTATACCTGACAAGGGAGAACCTTGCATACACAATCCGCTGCATTGATTACGTTAGCAAAATGACGACGTAGTAATTGCGTCATATTTCATTGTATTGTATTGTATTGTATTGTATTGTATTGTATTGTATTGTATTGTATTGTATTGTATTGTATTGTATTGTATTGTATTGTATTGTATTG